GGCCTAATAATTTTTTTAAGGGAGAAATTTCCCTTTAATGTTCTCTATTGAATCATACAGGCCTTATTTGATGTATGGTGGCAAAACTTAACAGGAATATTGCTTTTTCTCTATGAACTCTTGACACATTCAGCTCCATCACAAATATAACTATAACATTGTGCTAGATAGAATAACTTTTGCATCCTCAGTTCACTTTAATGCACTAGATAAAGAAATTACTGATATGCTTCTCCTCAATTTTTGCAGACAACCTGTCTACAGAGGATCAGCTATCTCAAACTCTGCTTTGTTATAAACTCCATGAATTCCAAATTCTACTTCTCAGAGCGGCCATGGCAGCAGGGCTGCTCCACCCGAAGACTCATAGCTAAGCAGACTCCACGCGGCCCTCTTGTAAAGCCACTTTCCAATACTTACAGAGCGTACATGAATCCTTGTCACAGTCTGATAGGTCTCTGATAATTGGACTGTCACATGCAAAAAAATAGCATTCCTAGATCTACAGTCAGTTATCAATCTTGTTCAAATACAACATTTTTACCTAGTCCAAAGGGCATCTTCAAATAGCCAAAGTAAAAATATGACAGATGTATTTATCCGTGCATTTTAAGATTTTATAGAACTTCAAAAACTCATAGAAAACCTGGTACACATGAACATTAACAAAGGAATTTAGAATAATCACCATTGGGAAAACATCATAGTTCTTGAGGGATTATTTTATGTTATTCAATTAATAACAGTAAAGTGTAGCCCTCATTTGCTCATACATGGTAAAATGAGATGGGTCTTAAGTATTTGGTTATCCTCATTAACTGCAGGCTTATTAAAAATGTTGCCCTTTTTATTAAATTCTATTCTTAAGAAACTGGGGATAATAAAATAGCCTAATTAGTTCTTGATTTGAATGCCCATTAATTTGCTAAGCCAAGACTTTATTGTTATTGGCATGTCAGCTATAGTCTAACTTGAAAGTCTTAGCAACAATATACCCGCTCCTTACCCCCCAAAAATGAAGCTGATAACAAAAGTAGAGTTTACCTGATTTCCTCCCATGCCATGACAGTTGAATATGCCGACTTTTTCATTTTCTTTGCGTCCCATGTTGTCTAAACATTGATTGGTTTCAACATTTCTTATCTAAAGGAAACACACACAAAAAATAAGTCAGATAGTGATATGAGTCAGAAAATCTTTCTGATATTATCAAATTGTATATTGATAACAAAATGATAAACGTTTGTAAGGAAATTTCTCTAAGAAGAACACATTGCTTTAAACAATAATTTTTTTCCTATGTCCATTTTCGGATCTATATAAGTTTCTAAACTCCTATTGAAGTAAACTTGGACATCACTGGCATTGTTAATAACATCTAATCAAGAGGCACTCCTTGTTTATAGCATTGTATTAGAGAAGAAGGAAACATCAACATATTACAAATTAGGAATTCTTCCCAAAGTCCTTTTAAAATTAGAACAGCTTCCAAATTCCAGTCAAATAACCAGTCCGTTCTTGAACTTCCTATAATACCATATGCAAAGGAATAGAAACAAATTGGTTAAATACTCAAATGTATGTTTTTTATAGAATTCATTACTAGATGCTCCATTCTGCATATTAATAAAGATTAATTACATATTTTTTTTCTGTAACTGAAACACATTCATGCATCTTTTTTTTCATTTAATGTCAAATTTGATGGAAAGCAGTTGACCCTAAGAAGACCTATTACAATGCTAAGTGATGATATCACATTAAAAATTCCTCCAGAGCAAGATTAAATTGCCAACTGCAAACATAAGATTTTTGGTTTACACTCAAACACTGCATTAGTCCCATAATTAACATAAAGTTAATACATTTTTGTGCCAAATGTAATTACAAAAGCCACACATTGAGTTTAAAAATGTTAAAATTACTAAATCATGTATAAATGAATGCAAAACAAAAAAGAAGAAAAAACTTTCTAGTAGATGGAATGTTTTCAATCATTTTCCTTAGTCTCAACACCAAGTATGTATTTACTATATTTTTCCACTTTGCTTCCGAAAAGTTCTTATCTCCGACTCTTATTAGGACATATACATTTTACTGTTCACCCATACATTACTTGCATATATTTATTTAGTTATCTATGCTTTTGGTACATTTTTATTCATATTGGCAAATGAATAAGATTAAAAACTTCTATAGAAGATGGATTACATCTATATGATAAGGTGCATTTTTTCCCAATTCCAGAAGCTATTAGTTGACATCATGGGGCCAATTAATAGTTTCTGGAATTGGGAAAAATGGCATGATTTGCATTAAGACTCCAATTGGCAACTGAGAACAGTGGGGATTAAAATTCACAATTGGTAAGAGTTGGAAAGAGCTGAGCAGAGTGGTTAGACTCTGTTCCAGTAGGTTGAGATTTAGAGCAGAGTTATAGATGTGTTCTTCAAGAATCCGAGCAGCAACCCATTAGAAAAGACAGAAAACACCATGAATATTAGAGGGGAAAGATAGAAGCTTCAAGAAGCAACATCATGCCCAAGTCCCATACTGGTGGGTTTAGGGCTGAAATGTCCTCTCAACCTGATTTAAGTTGGTTCAGGCACTGGGGGAGACTGAGCCAAAAGACTGAGGCTAAAGATTTTTCAGAACCTATAGCTGAGGAAAGTAACAATTGACAGATGATGTAGTAAATTCATCTGCCTATGTTTCATAGATTCTGATCAAAATATAACATATAAGTTGAATTGTTTTAAATCCCTTATATCTGACTTTTCTTAACTTTTCATAAATGGTATACTTCTTGAGAAACAATAAAATTCCTTATTATTATTTATCATCCTAAAAATGTATAGAATAATGGAATACTATAATACTTAGAAATATAATTATTTCACTGAAGTGAACAAAGTAAACATAGTCCATTTCATCATGGAGCTTATATTTTAAAAGGGAAGAGTGCAATACACAAATGCATTTGTAATATATCAGAAGATCAAGGAGTCTTATAAAGAAATATAAAGCACAGTAAGGGTAAGAAAGTGATGGTGGGGATATTATTTTATTTTATTTTATTTTTTTTTATTTTTTTTAAGCTGAGCCATCCTGCTACCTGTTGACAGCTCAGCGGCTGCTCAGCTCGGGCTGGACTCGAACCACTGTTGCTCAGAGCTCGGTGGGGATATTATTTTAGTTAGGAGTCCAAGTAAAGCCACTTTGAGGAAATGATACTTGAAAAGGCACCTTATTGAAATGAAAGAGCAGCCTTGTTTCCATCTAGGAAGAGCATTCCAGACAGAGGGAACAGCAAATGGATGCTCCCTACAGCTGAGAAAACTGAGTGAAATAAGGGGCTAGCAATGTGCCCAGGGTACAGTGAGTGAGGAACAGATTGGAGAGGCATGCAAGACTAAATAATATAAGGAATCCTAAGGTTTGGAGCATGAGGATGACATATTAATAGCTTTTTATGGCTGCTGTTAGAGAACAAATTAGATGGGGACAGGATTGGAAGTAGAGAAATGAGTAAGGGGACTATTGTAGTCACGATAGCAAGAGATGATGGTTTCTTGGAATAATAGGATAATAATGGAAGAGGATAAGTCAAATTTGGCATGTTTTTTAAAGTTAGAACCAAGTAGGACTTGCAATTGAATTAAATATGAGCTATGAGGGAAAAAAGACATCAAGAATCATCATAAGGTTTCGNCATGATTTATTTAAATATCCCCTCTTGATGAATATTTAGTTGTTTCTACTGCTTGTGTCTTAACAAAAAGGGCTCCAGTAAACATTCTTGTACATATATTTGTAGACATAAATAACTATTCATGTAGATGGAAAAATATTAGTTTTAATTTCTACCTTGTCATTAAGTTGATAATGTATAGAGACATTAGGATATATATATCTAGGTATGAGTTCTTTACTTATTGTTTCTTTCCCTTAGGTTGGTGAGTCCAACAACAGCAGAATTTTTTGGCTATGTCTATGTAGTGCTAAGGCATAAATGCATTGTTCTGCCCATGAATTCTTTACTCTATTTATTACTCTATTTACCTGACTATTATTTATATTAGGTGCCTACCATGTCCCAAGCACTCTGCCAAGTGCGAGGGATGAAGAGAGAGTAAGATATAGTCCCTGACAATAAGAAGTTGACAGTACCATGGAATAGCTTATTTCTAGGTATTTGAAAACTTGTAAATGGATAATATAATTTTTAACATTTATGACGCAGGCATTTCATGTCATTTAGACAAACACAGGCATGACTGATTATTCTTTCTAACATTAATCATGGCAACTCAATTCTTCAGGATAAATCATCTAGAGTATCTTCCTCCCTCATTTTCATCTACATTAGAATCAGAGTGATTTCATAAATAATAGTGCTTCACTTTCTGAATTTTATAGCTCATCATGGTGCAGATGATCAGTCAATTTTTTTCATAAACTATCGAAATACATTATAGGAGACACTTCTAAATATTCATCCAATATCCATGATAAATAAACTGTGAAGAGCAGTCACATGTGAGTGTGAGGTGAAATATTCAGTGCTTTTGTGCTACGGGTATTCAAGTAACACATTTTGGCCAATAAGACATACATAGAGATGTATCGAGCTACTATTAAGCCTTTTGTTTTTCCTAATAATAGGACAGACATGGCTATTGCAGCTTTTCTCTACCTGCCTTCTTCCCACCTTTAAAGTGGACATGAGGTCTGGAGTTCCAGCAGCTCATTTGTGACCAGCTGATGATAAAAGCTAACTTCAAAGACTAAGGAATGTTAAGAGAAAGTTTTTGGTTTCTTAATGGAATCATTGAGAACCTGAACGAATGTCGATAGCTGGCTACCTTCAGATTTCTTACTATGTGAGAAAAATTAAACCTCTGACAGTTAGGCTTTTTTGTCATTTCCAGCTGAAGTCACTGGGGCTCCACTGGCTTTGTGTAGTAGAGGCTTCTCACATTCATTGGGAATCAATACAATAAGCC